AACTCGGTGTGGTTATTGTACTTGCCACATAGAAGCAAAACGTTGAAACTTATTGAAATCGAACTAAAATTACGGCCGCTTTTTATATAACAGTAAATTTCAGATATGCTTGAAACTTCAATATTTCGAAATTTAAGGACGCTAATTTACTCAAAATGGATACACCTCGGTTTACCATGTAGCGGTAGCTTTCGGAAAGGTGAAAAACATATATTTAATACTTGCGCCGGGTATTTAATGTTCGGCTCCGCCCGAACTTAGACTTTTTTACTTGTTAAACTTATCGTAGGAACGAAAAAAAAAAATACTACCTGCCACAGTTGAATAGTTGCGGAACAATAGGCAACCCCTACCCCGAACTTATGACGCCGCTTTGACAGAGTATCTCAGTCGGAACTTGTCAGTTTGTGATAGTGCACGTTTTATTTTACGACATTCATTGTCAAACAGTTGCGTTCAAAAGTGATTATTATTATTGTGGTCATTATACAATTAAAAATTGTTATGAAGTCTGAAGACACAGGTAAATCTACATTTATTTTAAATAGTTTCGATTTAGCAAAATTTAATCTGAGTAATAATATCAGTAATCGGAAATATAATATTTTTTTAGTGATTATTTTTTCATTACTTTGTTAACCGTAAGCTTTTAGTTATACTTCCACGCATTTCCGCATTACATTACTAGTTGCGTTCTATAGAATGGAGCTTTGATAGTATACTGCACAAAATTTAGCTTTCGACCAATAATTAAAATAGATCTAAAAAAAAAAATTTCGTTTCCATACATATTTTGTCACTTTTAAGTATGTATTTCCTTTGCTTTAGAGTCACCAACTGGCTCCTGCTATAGAGTAGTAACTCGAAAATATTTATTTGATAAGATGCATCGACAAAATTCTATGAATTTTGAGAACAAAATAACGTTTCTTTAAAATGATATATTATCATCTGACACCTTCTCCGATGAACAAACAAGAGATGTAAAGCACAAATTTTCACAACTAAAAGTACAGTTTATACAAAGGTGGATAAAAGCCCGTGGAAAAGAAGAAGTTTTTTTTTTTAAAGTAACGTAACATGGCTACAAGGAACATTTTCAATTCCCAAAGGTATGCAACAGCCGCGATCTGGTCGTGTTGAACAGGTTACTCCTAAGCTCTGATCTGGCGATTTTTTTTTGGATACTTGCGCGTAAAAATTTAGAAAATCGCCATTGGCGATTTTTGGCGATTTTTTCCCTTCAAATAAATTTTTTCTAATTATAAAAATATACAAAACATAGTTTTCCACGATAATTTTACAGAAGAGGCTAATGAACTGCGTGATAAATTTGACTTAAGAAGCATATTAAAAAACTGTCAAAAATATTTAATCACCCTAATCGAAGAACTTTTGAAACGATTACCTAGTCAATTAAGTACTTTTAAAAAAGCTTTGATTTTGTCACCAGAAAAGTGTGTGAACAACAAGAGGGCGAGTTTCAGGGACCTGCCAATTCACTATTTGACTGTGAAGGAAAGAAAAGCAGCGGAAACTTAATATTTAAATCTTTTAACTTTCCCATGGAATAACTTTTCTCAGAACCATTCCATCCGCCTCCGAAGAATTTTGGATAATTGCTTACGGAGTGAAACCCACAACAGGTAATAAAATGTTTGGAAATATATGTAAGTAAATTCATGTTATTAGCCTTGCCGCACTCACATGCTTTGTTGAGCGCGTTTTTTCCGTAATGAATTCAACAAAAACTAAGATTCGAGATAGGATGAGGTTGGAAAGCCTTAATTCAATAGTTCGAATAAAGTGTTATATGAAGGCTAATAGTTTCTGCTGCAAAANCCCACAACAGGTAATAAAATGTTTGGAAATATATGTAAGTAAATTCATGTTATTAGCCTTGCCGCACTCACATGCTTTGTGGAGCGCGTTTTTTCCGTAATGAATTCAACAAAAACTAAGATTCGAGATAGGATGAGGTTGGAAAGCCTTAATTCAATAGTTCGAATAAAGTGTTATATGAAGGCTAATAGTTTCTGCTGCAAAACATTTCCAATATCAAACAGTATGTTATCAAGGTTGAATAGCTCAATATATGACAACAACAGAAATGTAAATCATTCAGACACTATAGGTGATTTTGAAGAAATTGTGGAAATAGCTGATCTCGCGTTATTACAGATTTTTATTTAATTTTTAGCGCCGAGCTCTTAAAAGCGGATTGTGCGATTAATCAATTTATAGAGTTATAAAAAATTTAATAATTGCGCAGTCCTATCGCAAAAAGTGTCCAAACAAATATTTTTAAAAAGTATGCGTATTTTTAAAGAAAATTGTTTGTACATCACTATTATATAAGTGATTTGTGTTTTTTATTATTTCTAGCCTGCGGATTTTTATGCAGAAAACGCAGCCTAAAAATATGTACCACTTAACTGTAAACAAAATGTGTAGAAATTTATACACTTTTTTATTGTTATGTGACACATATTTCTAGGCTCCGTATTTTGCATAAAAATCCCACAGTCTAATTATTACCCTCAGAAGGTATTATATTCGTTTTTGGTTTTAAAAACTATATTATAAAAAGATGTCATTTTTAAAATAAAAGATTTGTTAAATCGATTTCATGAATTTTATTAAAAAAAATTGGCGATTTTTGGCGATTTTTTTTCAGAAATTGCGCTTTTTATTTAAACAATCTGGACACCCTGGCTCTGATCCACTCATTAGTAGTTTCAGGCCAAAGCCAAAAAAAAAGCAACCAAACCCTTTTCAAAGGAAGAAATCGATATGTTGCTTCCAGCTGAACCAACTAAGGATGACACGAAGTCTGGAGAGTCTTCAGAAGAGGAGGAAGGGTCCGATGAAGAATCTAGGCACTCATCATCATCCTAAAATAGTTTTTTACACAAATTTTGTTTTAGAATTCAATTAAACATTTATTATCCATTGCATTACAAGATAAAATTGTTTATTTCTATAATTTTCTTTGGAACTTATATCTCAAGGAAGTCCAGACGCATTTTAACAATAAAAACAAATTTTTGAGCAACACTAGCCGTGTTTTATTTGTCCAGAAATTTAAGCTATTAGCTTATTTTGTATGGAGGACTTACCCAACATAATTATATTGGCTTAAGAAAAGCTATCTTGGCTCAAGAACGATAGAATACAAGATTGCGCATTCCCGCAGAATGACGTTTG